ACACCTTAACTCTTGCCATTTTAGTTTATGATAATTTTTCTGAAGAATTGTTTGTCTAGGTCTTGGGCCAATTTTTGGGGAGATTGCAGTGTCCCACTTCAATTCTTAGGCTTTGATTCTCTTGGATGTTTTTCCTCATTCCTTTTTGTTTACACTTTTAAGACTATTTTTTGCCTTCCAGCTTTGTTTTTTTAACTTCCCAAATGGTGGTTCTTTGGATGTTACCAAAAGCTAGATTTCTGGGGGGAGCAACGTTGTAATTTTTGAAGTGATCTTCAAAAAAAAGGGTTGATGAAAGCCAACTTCACCCATTCCCTGTTTCCAGGTCTTTTGGTTGTTTCCTTCACTATTCATTCTAGGACATCAGTGTTGCTTATTGTAGGAGATGGTAAATACTGTCTGCTGGAATACATTGCCATTTTAAAGAGGATTTGTGTATTTTAGGTTTGAAAGATATAATTTTTTTGAGACTGGATAATATGCTTTGTTGCCTATACTTGCCTGGAACTCATGCTTTCTCCTTCCTGGTTCAGGCTTCTAAGTAGCTGGGACTACAGGTGCTTCTTGACTGCTGCTGTCAAGATCATCTACTTTAAATTTCCCGTTATCAGCTAGCTTGATATTAACAGATTAAGTGCTACAGGTAGAGATGGTACCAAGAAGTACATTAAACTTAGAATTACTCCTTTGTGCTGGCACTTGGTAGTATGTGATTCAGGATAGAGTTGATGGAATTCTGCCTCCATTTTTTAAAAAAATATATTTTAGTTGTCAATGGATCTTTATGTGTGGTGCTGAGAACCAAACCCAGTGCCTCACACAAGCTGTCTGCCTTCATTTTTAAAAAATGTCTTATGATGTAGGTCTGAACTTTTTAGTGTCTTGAGTTTGTGTCTGGAGACCGAAGTTTCTTCAGTTTAGTTAAAAGTCACATGTGGCAGGAAGCCCAGAAGAACTTGCTACCATTCTGAGAGAAAGCAGTTGGCCTTGGTGGTTGTCCTCTTGTGCCTCATTATATTGAATCCGATCCATCCTTGAAAGCCCAGGCAGGCCTGTGTTTCCCATCTCCTCACCTTTAGTACTACTAGGTAGCCAACTCAGTATGATGGCAATCTGAAAATTAACTTCCTTCTAGATTTTACTACTTTTGTCAATCTTTCTATAGTGAAAACTATTAGGTGATACCTATCACTATAAGGTATAAGTGGAGAATCATGAATTTGTGTCCTTGTGCATGCTTGAGTTTGAACCCATTGTAGGCAGGTCTCTACCATAAAGACCAATAAGAAGCAACCGTTCTTCCTTTGTTTTCTGTCACTAAGTAGATAAACTGGTTCAGGAGGGTCTGAAGATCACTATGTACTTTGGGGACAAGTATATTTTTCTTTGGCCAGTCTGCTGAATATGGATGCTTAATGGGCTTAGTCTTTAGCCAATGCCATTTATAATTCGTGTTATCAGTAAGCCAAATACCTACTTTTATTGAAAAATTATGTAAATTATATTGTCAATCTCTGAAAGGAACCAGTGGATTTATCCCACAGAGAAGTTTCTTAATGTTTTAGGTGTAGATGGATACAATACCTTTATTTTTGTCAAGTGCTGAGGATTGAACCCAGTGCATCACACATACTAGGCAAATGCTCTACCACTGAGCCACAACCCCAGCTCCCACATAGAGATTTTTATTTATTTGTATTTCAATTCACTTTTGGTTGCTAAAATTGCCCCCTTTGACCCTTCTGAAGCTACCTTTTGCCATCACAGACCTCTCTGAGTTAGCAGGAGACAGGCCTCAACATAGATGACTATTCATACTAGCCTTGCTTAGTTACTAGGTTCCATTAAGTCCATTATCCATTGCTGTACCCTGAGTGCCTAGCTGAGAGCTCCACATATAAAAGATTACTCTTTGATAACTGCAATCAAATTATAGGTTTGACTTGCTTTTTAGTGTGAGAAGATATTCCAGGTTCATTTTGTTCATTTTCTTAGACTTGGAAGGAGCTATTTGGCATTTAGGACTACAGTTGGGAGTATTGCTTAGTACTGGGTTCTGGTTGGCAGGCTGGGATTTGGAAAATCGGGAGAAATATGTAGAATATATTACTGCTATGTGAACACATCAAATCCAGATAGAATTCATTTAAGACATGCATATGGTGAGTAGTTTATTGTTAGCGTATCTTTACACCTGTGAAAGAGTTTGAAGATGTAGAATAATGGAGAAAAGGAATAATGTGAAATGAATAAATTGTAGTCAAAAGATTCTGGTTAGATGCTGCTTCAACTTTAGGGAATCTTACTTCCTCATTAGAAATTGTGAAGAAAATAATGTGAAGACAATGTAAAACCAGAATTATTAGTTAAAAAACAGCTAAAACATTTGGAGCTTTAGTATATGCCAGATGAATTTCATTCTTAATTCTGTGACCCCATGGAAGTTTAGTGTTCTGAATCGTGTTTTGTAGACAAGAAAGCAGTCTTGGATTGCTTGCTAGAAGTGAGAGAAACAACATTCAAACCCAGGACCTATGGCTATGTTTCTACTAAGAACTGTCTGGACTTCTTGGTCAGTCTTATTTGTGTGGTAGAGGAGATTGATAAGTTAAGATCACAGAACCCTTTAAATGGAACAATAGTTATACTCCTTCCATTAAAATTAATAGAGATAGTAGTAGTATAATAGCATGGAAATATGATCTTAGCCAGGAGTTACTAAACACTGTCTTGGGAGGCCAGAACCAAGCCTTGACTCATATTTTCTAATAAAGCAAGATCAAAGGTGATGGCGATGGCTCAGGTCCAGTGGGTCATTTCAAACTATCTGGGGATTGGTTCATTTCCAGAACTTGGGAATTAGTAGTAACTTCTGAAGCCTAGTTCTGTCCATGTCTGTTGATGGTGGGTCTTTTTTTTTTTTTTTCATCCCTGAAGATGAAACCCAGGGATGCTTAACCACTGAAACCCACACTCAGCCCCCTTTTAAAAACAGGGTCTCTTTAAGTTGTCCAGGCTTACCTGAAATTATAGGAATTGCTGGACTTATAGGCATGCACCACTACACCTAGCTCTGGTGGGTCATTTCAAACTATCTGGGATTTGTTCATCTTCATTTAGTAGTAACTTCTCAAGGCCAGTTCTGGCAGAATATCTGCATAAATTCAGTCCAGCAGCTTCTTGCAAAGACTTTGCGGTCACTTGGTACCTAGTTTTGTAAAGGTTCTCTACTTGCCTCCAGGGCTGTTTAGAATAGCCTTAGCATTGAACAGGAACTTAAAATAACTCGCAGGGAGGCTTGATATTTGGAACACAAAATACTGATAATCGGATCTGTGACTTGAAAATAGCTCTGCCTGACAGCACCTACCTACTTTATTATGCTTGAGTGAGGGTGGAACTCTGAACCACAGCCGGTGACAGAAGGCTTTTAACCACATAGTCCGAATTCCTGAGTTCTTCATTTTGAGCTTGCTCTCTATAGTTTCTTTTCCTCTGTGACCTGTTTTATCTGTCCTAGTTTGAGCTTGGTGGCAGCAATCTCTAAAAGGGGTGTGAGTGGGAAGGACAGGATTTTGCGGTTGGTGGGCACCTGCGGAACCAATCTTTTGAGGATCCTACCAAAGGAGGCAAGTTCCTTAATAGCACACAAATGGAAATAAATCTTAGCCCGGTTGGGAGGAGGCTGGAAGAGGGCCTAGAGTGGTCGCTGACCAGAGTCCTGCTGGCTACTCCAAGTATATATCCCTCACAAGCTGGAGTTGTAGTGACGCCTTGGAGCCGCTAGGTGGTAGCCATGTGTTTCCAAAACTAGCTCGCTAATGCAAGAGCCCAGCTGGGATCCCAAGAACCGATCCGGAGCCCTGGAGGAGGAAGAAGGGAGAGATGACCCGGAGCCTTCCCCACTTCCAGCGGCAGGGAAAGAAGAGAGGAAGAAGGCTCACTTAGCGTGGGCATTCCGCCGGGAGGGTGGCTGGGAAAATCAATATCTTGTGTGGACTCCTGGCGGGTAAAAGCGGCGTCCCTCAAGTGGAGCTGGGGGCTGGGCCTGACCCGCCCTCTCCCGGTTCCCCACTCCAACGCTGGTGGGTGTGAGTGTGAAGAGCAAATATGGGTGAGTGAGGTCGCTCGGCACCTAACTGCGTTCTTGGGAACCGCTCTCTGCTCATTTCGGCCAACGTTTGCGCTGTGGCGCGGGTCACTGAGCCCAGGTGCAAAGCTCCGACGGCTTCCAGCGCTCACCCACTCCAGCCTCTTAGGTTCTGCCCTTCGGAGCTGCGGGTCCCGTCGCCGAGAGTGAGCACCTCCCCTCCAACCCGGAGCCACCAGGAGAAGGAGGAGGAGGCGGTGGAGAGGCCGCGGCAGGCTGGCGAGCAGGCAGGGCCGCCTTTGATGTGGGCGCGGCGCACCCAGGCGAGCTGAGCGCCCGTCCGGCCGCGCCCCGAGGGGGGAGCCCCGAGCCCCGCATCCTCATTGTGCCGGCTCGGGCCCGGGCCCGCCCCCGGCCCCCCGCCCCCTCGCCGCCCGCGCGTAGAAAACGCCCCGGCCGCCGCCAGTGGTGGGAGGCGGCGATGCGCACGGCCGGAGAGACGCGGAGGAGGAGACATGAGCCGGCGGGCGCCCGGACGGAGCGGCCGTGACGCTTTCGCGCTGCAGCCGCGCGCCGCAGCCCCAGAGCGCTGACCCCTGGCCTCGCGCAGTCCCGCGCCCCGGCCAGAGAGCCTGCCCCAGCTTTTATTCCTCTCGCGCATGCTGCCCCCGGAGTGAGCCGGGCACCAGCATTCCGCGGACGCCTGGACGGCTGCCGGACAGCAGTGAGCAAGCTTCCCGCACCAGCCGAGAGCTTCCTGCACAGCGGCGGCCGCCCCGCAGCCCCCGCGCCAGCCCGGAGGGCGCAGCGCTCGGGAGGAGCCGCGCGGGGCGCTGATGCCGCAGGGCGCGCCGCGGAGCGCCCCGGAGCAGCAGAGTCTGCAGCAGCAGCAGCCGGCGAGGAGGGAGCAGCAGCAGCGGCGGCGGAGGCGGAGGCGGAGGCGGAGGCGCCCGGTCCCGGCCGCGCGGAGCGGACATGTGCAGGCTGGGCTAGGAGCCGCCGCCTCCCCCCCGCCCAGCGATGTATTCAGCGCCCTCCGCCTGCACTTGCCTGTAAGCGCCCGCGTGCGGGGCTGCCCACCTTGCTTGACCGTCTGCCGGTGTTCCCGCACGTCTGTGCTCCTGACTCCGCCTCGTGTCTGTCTGTCCGAAAGCCCCCTCCCTCTAGTCCCACTGACCACCTCTCCATCTCTTTCCGCAGGTGTTTACACTTCCTGCTGCTGTGCTTCCAGGTACAGGTACGTGGGCTCCTGACTTGACCCCCCCCTTCTGCCTCGCGGCAGAAGCCGACCCCCCTCGCCGGGGCCGCGCCCCCTCCGGGTGCCCCACCCTCCCGGGCGCGGAGCCCAGTGCACCTGTTCCCAGGGCGCGAAAGGGCGGTTCCGCGCGCTCCCTGCGCCGCTGGCGGATGAGCCAAGGGCAAGGGACTCTGCTGTCGCTCGTTAGCCGGCGTGGGTTGTCGCAGCGCCTGTCGGCCTCGATTGGGATGAGATCCCTTGGAGCTAGTGGGCTCAGCCCCAGCAACGTGCCCGACCCCAAGACCCCTTCCCGAAGTCAGCGACGAGTTGGGACTTAGGAATTTTCTCTGCCAACTGTCCTTAACATCGCCGTTCGCTCTTCCAAACAAAAAGACTCCTTTCAGTTGAGAGGATTTGGAGTCCAAGGAGAGAGCTGCAGTTGTAAATTACTCTGTGGTTTCAAAGGCGTTTGTTTGCGAGAAAAGGAGAGCAAGAGCGAGAGCACCACCAGAGAGGGAGAGAGAGCGCCGGGTCTAGGTCCCGCGGAGGCGTTGGGCGGCTTGGTTGTCCGCGAGGCCGCTCCGGGACAGGCGGCGCTCCGCACTCCCTGGCCCAAGGTGCTGCAGCCGGCGGCTGGTTCCCGCCTGCTCCGCGTTCACTCTTGCTCTCCGTGAATCAGAAGAGGGCTTGGCGCTCAGCCTGGAAAGCACTTGCTAAAATCTGATCTGTTACTTCAGCAGCTTTCAGACTCGGGAAGGTCTTGGCACGCAGACAGTTGGAACGCTCTGGCTTCCAAAGCCGTGGAAATGAAGGAAAAGGGCGGGGGGAGGGAAAGAGGGAGCCGAGACTTCAGGCCCGATTAGAACCAGACCAGGGCTGCCTCGGCATGGCGGGGTGGGGGCAGAGGGAATGGGAAGCCCAGCTGCCCGAGCCCCCACCCACCTAGAGCGGCCAGAGAGGGGATCTGGGAGGAGCTGGACGCCGGCCAAAAGAGGATTATCTGCCCCTTCCCCCTCTGCCTTAAAGGCAGGTGTCCCTATAGGGTTGGGAAGGTGCTTAAGCCTGAGCCTTCTGGGTTCTGGAGATGTCCAGAGAAGGCCTCGCACATGGAAATTGAAGTTCCCAGATTTCTGGCACCAGGAATGTGTGTGTTGAGGGCTGGTTGGTGAGACTCAGCAGTCACTTGCTGAGGTGCTGGTGGCAGAAGAGGACTGGTGCCCTTGGGATGGATGTGAACTGGGGGCAGCCAGTTGAGGCTGGGAGGAGGGTGGCTGGAGGGACAGGCTGATGGGTTCTTTCCTCCTGTTGGCCAGGCTGGGGTCCCCAGTGACTCCTTGAATCAATACAACTGGAGTCAGTAACTTAAGACTGGCTGTTTGCCAAAGCAGATGTGACCCTGTGTAGTGATGGGGGTGGGGGACCTGGTGGGGAATGGTTGGTGTCAGAGAGAGAGGCCAGTGCCAGGCATGGCCTGCCTGGTCTGCAGCTGAGTCCCCAAGCAGAGGGCAGGCCCCAGGGTCACTGTGGAGGGTCTGCTTGTCTGGCCTGGGGAAGGCTCCTTGCTTGACGGCTGGACCAGGGGCCGGAGCTAAGGAACCTGCTTCTCAGGAGAGGGGCCTTTGGTCGTGGGTGCTGGAGCTTCAGGGTGCATCCCATTCTTGGTTCTTTTTGAAGTGAGGCCCAGGAGGGGCTGCTGGGGGGCGGGGTTGTCTTCTCCAAGGAGAGTGTGAGGGAGGGAGCCCGGCTGTGTGTCCCAGCTCCACCTCTGGGCCAGAGTTGGAGGCCCGCCTGGGGTAGGTCCAGAGGCAGCCCTCCGCAGGTGAGGGGCCTCCACGCCACTCTCCAGCCTTTGCTCCTTTGGGAAGCCCAGCTGCCCGAGCCCCCACCCACCTAGAGCGGTGGGGCATTTCCAGCTGGTTCATGTGCCCTTGGAATACATCTAAGAGTGGGATTATAAGGGGAGGGGTGTCCTTGAAACAGTGCACAAAAAATTGTGCCCAAATGTGCCATGTCTGAAAGAGAGTTCTCAGCAACCCACAGATTCCGAAAACCCTCTGACCCCTGAAAGGTAAAGAGGTAGTTCCCCAGGGGGTTCGGGTGAGGTTGGCAGCCCACAAACCCATTTACATTTCAGGGGCAAAGTTTGTGTGGTCCTTAGTGGTAAAAATGAGGGGCAGCCCCTATGGGGGGAGTTGCCAGGAGTTGGGGGTCTGATCCCAGTGGAGAGTGGCTCCGTGCGTGCAGCCTGTACCTAGACAGTGAATTGGAGCGCCTTCAGTGCGAGGCCCACAGTGCACCCAGGGCCCACCCGCCTCCCTGAATGGTGGGCAGGACTCAGGGTTTGGCGATTCGGTGGGCTAGGCCTGGACCCCAGCTCCATCGATCGCTCCCTGCCCATGACTTCCTGTGGGTCTTAGTTTCATCCTTTGTGAAAGAAGTGGCCCTGGGGTTGGAATGATGCGAGACAGAGCTGCGTGACTTCTCATCCTCCCTGGAAAGTCGTCTGGGTGGAGAAAGGGGTCCCCCCATCCTGTCCTCCCCCACCTTGCTGTCCTGGGGGTCTGGTCCATCTCAGGAATAGTCTGCCCCCTGCCCCCAGACCTCAGCCTGGGTCAGGACGGGTTCCTCCCAGCCACATTTCCATGAGCACATTGAATGCTAGACACTGTCCTCGCCCACCCCCAGGGTGCTGAGTCCCGCCCTCACTCGCAGCCACCCTGGGAAGCGGGAAGCTGGGAATTTAATAAGATCCCTTCATCCCTTCTCCCCAGGACTCGGGCACTGTGGATAGCTCCAATCGGAAGAATTTTAGAAATGTCCTCCGGAGCAGGTGGCGTGACCAGTAAATTGCTTTTCTGCACTTGGCTGAGCTGTGACAATGACACGGGCTGGGCCTTTCAGGAGGCTCAGCCGGCACCTGCCTGACATTGTTCCCACCGCCAGGCTCAGCTAGGTCCAGGCCTTCCCAGACAAGCCGGGCATGAGCAGGCCAGGGGTGGGGGGAGGGGGAAGGGGAGGCTTCCTCCAGTCCCCTGTCCCTCCTAGTGCCTTGTCCTTCCCACTCGGCCACTTCCTGTGCAAGAGGTGTTCTGGTTTGGAAGTTTCCTTCCATGTCCCTCTCTGTCTGACCACCTGCTACACCCAGCTTCCTCCATGGGCTTTGGACCCTTCCTTCAAGCTGGCTAGTATGGGGACAGTGTCCTTTGGGGCAAGAGGAGGATGGAAAACTGTCCTATTGGGTGGCACTTTTGTTTATTTATTTTGGGCACTTTCAATTTCTTAAAGATCATCATCTTCCATTTAGGCAGATTTTCATTCAACAGCTGCTTGGGGGGAGTCTGCTTCTTGCTGACCTGAGGATAAGCCCTAGAGGGCACCTGGCCCCAGAGCTCAGAGCCTGGCAGGGAGATGGCCAGGTCTCAGGAGTGTGTCCACCACCGCTCCCAGCTCTGTGGGGCAGGGCGCATCTTCCTCCACCAAGAAGGTGCTCGTAAGAATTTCGCAGTGTCTGTGGCATCAGGCAGCTGCTTTCAATCCTCCAACCATTGTACAAGATGGTGGGTAGGAAGGAGTGATGTTCCTCCCACATGGACGGAGAAAGCGAGGCAGAGACAAGGAAGGGATTTGTTCAAGGCACGGCTGAGTCCCCGCCCTCTGGATGCAAGATCTTGTGTTCATGCCACTGTGCCAGGCTGACTTTTCCAGAGAATCCTGGCATTAATCAGAAGGAATCCTGGTGGCGAAACAGTCCCAGGAGGGTGCTGAGGGAGGCGATTCTGGGCTCAAGGTATTGGACCTGCCGCCCCTGAACTTGCTTCTCTGAGAGGGTCCTGGAGGTAGAGGTGGATGTTTTGTGGGGTGGGGCTGGGCATTCGCACCCTTCTTCCAGCCTCCTTCCCAGGTGGAGGGGGAGGGAGAGAGGCAGGCACCTTGCCAGCATTCCTGATGTTCCAAAGTGTCACCTGCGTGGAGATAAGAGGTGGGTTTTAAAATTTTATTGTGGTTGGTTCAGCCAGTGCCAGCGGGCCTGGGCAGCATGTCAGGGTCTCCGTGTGCAGCCTGTATACCCTTCCTGAGCAGCTCTGTGGGTGACCCGGGCCCCAGAAGGAGGCTGGAGGTGGGCAGGGAGGTCCATCCTCAGCAGGACTTAGTCCTCTAGCAGGAAAACCCTGGGTGTAGAAAATGGGGGTGCAGGCCTGTCAGGCTAACGCAGAAAGGGCAGAAGGCACCCATGTAGCCCTAGCAGGTAGGGTGCGCTCAGCGGAGGGCTCAGCATGTGCTAGGACTTCTCTCAGCGTCTGGGCAGAGCCTCCCCAGCTGTTGGAAGGACGGAATTCTACGGGTAAGAACAAGAGGTTCAGGGCCACAGTCGGGCGCCTGCTCTGGAGCTGCCAGCCTGGCTCCAGTGGTAGCTCCGCCTTCTCTTTGCTGTGTGACCTGGTGCAAGTTACTTGACCTTCCTGGGTCTTAGCTTTTGCACACATAAAATGGGGGAAAACAAAACGAAAGAAAACACAAAAACAACCCTTACTTCCTGATGGGAGTGCTGGTGACAGACCCGTGTGTGCAGTCCCCATGCCTCTGGCCCTGGGAGGTTGCCTTGCCCGTCACCCTGTCAGCTCCTCGGCACTGGGAGGGGGGCATTGACTTTGGGCAAGGGCTGCTCCGAGGAGGAATGTCTGCTGGACCCAGGGCAGACACTGGGGGACCGGGGTGCCGTATCCCTCCCGCGTGCCAGGGTGGGAGGCTGTCTGGCCTTGGCATGGGCTTTGGCCTCCTGTGGCACTTGGGGCCTTTGGGGTCTGTTCAGAACACTAGCGGGAGGGTGGGCCACAGGCTCCAGTCAGGCTTGGTGGCAGCACCTTGCCGACATCCAGGGGGCCTCAGCTCAGACTCATTTAAAACATTGCCGTGTCAAGGACAGGGTCCAAGGCAAGCCTCCTGTGGGCCACCAAGCAGAAAGACTCCCGGGGCCACGCACCAGCCCTGGCTCTGTCACC